AGCATGGCCGCGTAGTGACGTATATATATATATCGTCACAAACAGAACTGCCCGGTAAACCGTAGGCAGAGAGAGAGAAGAGGACAACAAACGAGGGGCTGTGACAAACTGTTTCGTCGGAGTTTCACCGACTCATCAGGAGGCTTATATATATTTTATAGGAATGAATATATATATTTATTATTGAATCTATTATTTCATTTATATAATAGATAAATAAGATATATACAAATACTCTATCTTTATATATAGATAGAGATATATGCATATAGATAGATAAAAATATCTATATATTTTTATATCTACATATTTTTATATCTATATATGATCGTCCTTGAGCTCTAGGTTGAAATCTTTTTATGGTTGTGCCTTCATCTGCCTTAGCTTCACTTATAAATAAAATTAAAATTTTAATAAATCTTTTTTCTGAAGTCCTAGGTTAAGTCCACTGGAAGCAGATGAGTAAAATACTACAATTCTATTTTTGCCGGAACCCGGGTCAAAAAAAAAAAAAAAAAAAACTACAATTGTGAGTTACCTTGGGTCGGTCAGTTCGATGATGATATCTCAAGCCCGTCCCCCTTTCGGAAAAAAAAAAAAAAAAAAAAACGTTGTCAGGGTCCGAAAGATGTATATTTTGCAACAAAAGCGGGACCCGTCCGCAAATAGTTTTGCTGTGAAACTACCGCGACCTGTAAAGCTGCAACGAAAGATGTAGTTTTGCAACGAAACTTGGACCCGCCACTAGTTTTGCTGTGAAACTACTGCAAACGCACTATTTTTGAAACTTACCCACAATAAAAAAAAAAGGAAAACGGAAGATGAAGGAGATGAAACCCCACCTCAACACTATAGTCCTTCTCCACAACGAGCATTGGCGGCTTGTCATCCAGGCAAGTGAACTCGATGGCGCTCTGGTTAAGTACCAGGAATGGGTAGATGGTGAACAAGCAGTTGTCCGTGGTACCCGTGACCGGCAAGCTGAAGCGGCGTCCATCCTCGTCGAGAAACTCTATGTAGGAAGTGAATGACATCGGCCGCTTTGCGACAAACTTCATCTCCACCGGCAATTTCTCCCTTGCGTAACCTATCATCATACCATCCGGAAAATCGGCTTGAAGAGGGGCTTTAGCGGCATCCACCGGAAGTCGGTACTTGAGCTGTAAGTTGTCGTAACCCTGATTGATGATGTAGAACTTCGCGTGTGATGTAACGCCTAATGGGACTGCAGGGAGAACGACCTCCCGTGTAGAGAATCGCAGCTTAGGATATACACCTATGCCAATGATTTCCAGGTCGACGTAAGGGGACTTGGTGTCACCATCAAGATACAGGGGCACTGTGCACCTAAATGTGCCGCTTTCCTTGGGCATGAAGAAGGCTCGAACTTTCGCAGACTCGTCCGGCAGCAGTCGCCCCTCGCTTGGCTCCAAATGAAACACCCCCTTCATGTCGTAGACCCTGCACGCAAACACAAGTCAGGGTTATCATAATCATGCCCCCTATTTTCCTCTTTTTTTTTCTTTTTTTCTTTTTTTTTTTGACCATTTCTGCCATTTCTCGATTAAAATGTGTCATCCTTGCGCGCAGGGGTCATGCCCCTAGAGTGCAAACCCAATCTAGGCAAGGGGGGATTAGAGGGGCAGAGCCAGAAATGATCTATCTCTAGACAATTCGTGGGGTTCATTACCTGGCGTCAATTACCATTGCCCAACAAGGTGTTCTCATCTCCGTATGAGGAAATTATGCATCAGCCTATTTTTGGAACTAACTCGATAAATGACACACAGCAAAAAGAGATTGGAAATCGGTAGATCAACTGAAAAAGGAGCTCAGATATGCGCATCAGCTCTCCCAAAGATTGCATCAAATGATTTTTTCAAGTCCTTTGTCCTGGGTGCGTACCCTAAGAAAAGGCATAGTTTTTCAAGAAGGGGATCGGGTGGTGGTAGGTTGTCAACACAACGAGAGTATGGAGGTGGGACAAATCATTCACTTAGATTCCGATGGAGCCTCGGTGAGTGTCCACCGGATAAACAAGGAATCGTTTATTTTGGCTGCGCCAGAGGAGAAATTACTAATTAGTAATTACTAATTAGTTCTTTTCTTTTCTTTCTTTTCTTTTCTTTTCTTTTTTCTTTTTCTTTTTTTTCCCCCCTTATGAGTGGCTTTATAGAATTAGAATACTGCATGTTTCGTTGATTCATGGATGGAGGGCTTTTCATCCAGAGATCCCCATACCCAGCTGAAAGGGTGTGACAAAACAGAAAGAGGAGGAAAACTAGGTACTTGCATCCTTTCTCAGTCAAGGCAACATACCACCTGCTTCGTCCAAGGGTAGATCTTGTCTCAATTGTACAAGATAGATGGGTTAGGCACCTCAATGTCGATATGAATCTGGTAAAACCGTAAAACACATTAACTTCTTCTAGAACCTTAAGCGGCGGGGCCAGTAAAGTTTGCCTCTCTGCAATGGAAGTTTGCCTCTCTGCAATGGAAGATAGCTCACCGGTGTCTACCGACCAATAATTGGTTAATTGCCCGCACTACCCTGGAGCAAGGGGGACTGTCATCTCCCTGATGTGAATCCGGTGTTTTGGCTTTCCCAAGTAGGAAATTTAGAGAAACTATAGAACACATTTTTATGCAATGTGCGGGTTGAGTCTTGCTATGGAGAAGATGGGACTGCATTTGGAGGGAGTTAACAGGGATTGAGTGGCCTTGGGAGTGGCGAGCCATTCTCTTGGGTTTCCGGGATCCTTCAGGATTCCAGCTTGTTTAACTTCCAGCAGAACTTCTTTGACGAAAAAAAAAAAAAAAAAAAAAAAAAAGAGATGGGCCGCAAGGCTATGCTATGGGCACTTTGGCACAAACACTGTGTTCGTTGTGAGAGAGAGGATGTAAGCTTGGAAGGGGCGGATTTAATTGAAATAATTGTTATTTTCGTCCAGACGGAGGTCTGGGCACAGTGGACAAATCTCACAGCAAAACTATATAAAATTTTCGACAGAAAAAAAACTTAAAAAAGACATTTTGAAGGCAATCAAAAATTGTGTTCACAACTGGCTGGGGGGATCTGCAGGAAGGGGGGGGGGGGGGTGTAGTGGAATGACCAGGGGGAGAGGGGTCTGGCTTGTCCATCAAAACGGATTTCCAGCTCACCTTTCGAGACTGGTTCACACTGCTTCCAGGAGTCTCTCCCAGATCTCCAGTCTTTTTCTCAGATCCATTTCCCCCTTCTGAGCTTTCTCTTGTGACATGCAATGGTATGGTTTGGGAGGGGGAGTAATCTCAATTCTTTGTTTTGCTTTCCAAAAGAAGGTTTGCTTGTTTTCTAGTAGTAGCATATCTGGCAGTCCACTTTGAGGGACTGAAGAGGCAAGTCCTTCTCAAATGACATTGTTTCAAAACATTTTGGATCTGTAAGGGACGCTGGGCCCGGTTTCCAGCAGGTGTCACTCCCCACCAATAGACTGGAGTCACTGGCAAGACAAGGTAGGAGTGTATGCTCGTATCAGCACCCCTATCTGTCGTCTGCTGTGTGTAAAACCAAAAAGGGGAAACTGAACGGGAGTCGCAAAAAAAGGGCCAAGATACATTTTCAAATTGCAATTCAGGCAATGTATACAACCCAGCTTTCGGGCCAGGTAGGCTGCCCGAAGTGCAATTGCAAACTGTATCTTGCCCCATAGTGCAATTATAACTCTACTGAAGTTACCCCCCCCCAAAAAAAAACAAAAAGGGGCCATGCCAAATTGCCAATTAATCTTCTCTGCACCGCTCCGGTTTTAACAGATGTCCTGAGGGGTCACATCCAGGAGGGCTCCCGCTGGATGTAGAGGGGGAGCTAAAAGCAGAAACAATCAGATAGACACACACTACACACACACACACTACACACACTACACACACACACACACACACACACACACACACACACACACACACATGCATATACAACTATCCCATAACATATATATATTCACACACACGCATACATAGATACATGTACAACTATCCCGGAACATACATGCATACACAGTGTGCACACACACATACTCGCACACATTCTCCCAGACACATATAAAGTTATAAACACACTCACACATGCCAACACACACAGATACACACTCACACATGCCAACACACACAGATACACACTCACACATGCCAACACACACAGATACACACTCACACATCCTTTTTTCACACACACATTCACAGCAGACAAATAACCCAATTAGTACATGCATACATGCACATATGTACACACAAACATACACACACACACACACACACGCTTAAGAAAGAACCCCGCAACATTGCACAAATCCTTTACTTTTTCCTTTCTTCCCACTCTTAAAAACGCCCATTTACTGCGATCCACCTTGCCCACTCCCCTTCCCCCCACCAGGACACCCCTTGAAGAGTGGACGCCCTCACAACCCAACCTTCTCCACCTAGTTACACTTACGCATACACTAGCCCCACAACCTCGCAAACTTGCACAAATGTCCTCATATAAGCTCGCCTCACTGCAGAATACACCCCCTCTCCCACCTTCTAAACCCTGGCCCCTGGTAGCTCTGATACAAGATCTCACTGTTCCCACCCACCATCCCCCACCAGAACTCCCCTGATGCTGCACATACTAACACTGCAACCTAGACATGCACTTATCCTCAACTGATCGTCTCTGTAAAGACAACCAGGCCCAGCGTTCCCACCCTCTCACCAAACCCCTGCCTTCTTTTCAGAGCAACCCCAACAACTCTCCGCCCCCTCCCTTCCCCCCCTTCCTGGAACATATCGCCATGAGGTTAGGATGGCAAATTGTCTAGGCCAACCCCATGAAACGGTCTTCAGTCCCACCCTCCCAAGAAGTCCATACCGCCCCGGGCCCAAAAGAACCCTCGACCGGATCTCCCTGCCAGGGCGTCTGACCCACACGACACACCTTCCCTGGTGTAAGTCGGACAACACAGACTGCAAGCACCAGGACTAGAGATGTAAAAATCCGCCAAAAACCAGGACAACAGGCAAGACCGGACCCCAACACCCCGTGGTAAGTCCGAACAGTGACAAATCCTAGTCGTCTCTTCTGCAACACCCGGACAAAGGTGCCCGGTGGACGTGTACCAGACCACATTACCCTCACACTACTGGACAATTAGTGAAGCAGCACCCAACACAACCTACTTGCCTCAAAACGGAAAGGAAAAAACTTCAAAAAAGGTTGTCGGCGATGACGACGATGATGACGAAGAAGACAATGGAATGGCTATGGAGTTCATTCTTTGGCGGCATGGATCACAGCGTGCATCAAAACGGAAAGGAAGAAGAAAAAGCTTGTTGACGACGACGATGACGACGATGCTTCGATTGCATGCATTCTTCTTCTCTAATGGAATGGCTATGGAGTTCCTTCTTTGGCGACATGGATCACAGCGTACGTCAAAACAGAAAGGAAGAAGAAAAAGTTTGTCGACAACAACGACAATGACGACGAAGACGATGCTATGGAGTTCCTTCTTTGGCAGCACGGATCACAGCCTATGTCTAAACGTAAAGGAAGAAAAAAGTATGTTGAAGACGATGACGGCGACAACGATGACGATAAGGAAGAAGAAGAAGAAGAAGAAGAAGAAGAAGAAGAAGAAGAAGAAGAAGAAGAAGAAGAAGAAGAAGAAGAAGAAGGGCTTTGCAGCCAGCAATCTCTGGTAGATGGGCAGGCCGATATGGATTGAAATACCCATTGTGTTTCCTGTTGAATTCTTGTTTCTGTCTTCTTGCCTTCTCCTTTCTTTCACTTGTTGCGTGAGTGTAAAACAGGAAGAAGGAAGCAATTCGTATATTTGGAAACTTTGTCATGAGCAAGAGGTTGGAGAATTGGCAGCATGCTACGACTACTCACTTTTCTAAACCAAGGCTCCACTGCATGGTTTTCGCATTGTTGTTTGTAACAGTAAGGTCTAACGTGTACTGAATCTTCTTCTTGACTCTATCATTCACAAGAATCCTGTCTCCAAAAGACAAAACTGTTGTTGAAAGAAGAAGACGGGGGTGTAATCCTGTCGCCAGAACCAATCTCCTGAGCTGCTGGTCGTCAGAAGCTCCAAGTACTGACAGATGGAGTTCGAATGATGCATTCCCTGACTTTGCTGGTCGGTAAGATAGCATCAGCGTCACTGATCCAGTTGCCGGGACAGCAATCCTATACTTCGATCCCTGCAAGGGAAAGTATGTAGTTGAGCTGCACATTAGAAAACACGAGCGACAAAAAAAAAAAAAAAAAAAAAAAAAAAAAAAAAA